CATTTTCCTCATTCAGCTCATAATTTCATACATCATTTATCTTCAAGCATTACAATTAACATTTTTCACCTGTTTCTTGATGCTTGCACACCAGGCGGAAAGGGAAGACAAAACACCCACTCCTGAAGTAAGTAATTACGGACTTACGGATAATAATCTTGATCTCGAAGGATCGTCCAATGTTGCCGGTATTAGCTCGTTACGACGCCGCAATGTGCCTGTAAAGTCAAATCCGTGTATTGCTTCTGCATTTAACGACAATACCCTTGATAGTGTATCCGCATTCTTTGATTTGTCCAGCGGTAATCCTGAAGTTAAAGTTCAAAACTCTCGTAAGAGATATCCGAAGTTAACCGCGAGTTATCCGAAAATTCTACAAAGTGACAAAATTCATTCGAAAGATGTTAAAAATTCGCAACGCACGGACCCCGTATTTTTAAAACCACCATGTTCGCAACCACCGGTGTTCCTAAAATGTAAGAAATTGAAAAAACAGTATCCGTCGGAGGACGATAGTGAAGAAACGGTTTCGTGCACGTCGGACGAAAACAATTTGTCTCAAACTACAGATCTAGATATTCAGTTTAGTAAGTTGAAATTCGAGTCTCTCATAGCATCACATTTATCTTCAGAGACCAAAAAGAGCAATGTTACTTCTTATAGCAAAGAGCAAACTTTGAAACAGTATTGTAATTTCGAGGAGAAAAAAGTTATGAGAGTAGCTCCGCATATTCGTAGGAAGGATGTGATTTGTGATACGGTAGACGCATGGTCGAATGATACCGGGCAGAATATTTCCGAATCATCCAAATATAAGCCATTAGTCTTCGGTGGCACGTATCCAATTGATCTACCACTTCAAAATAGAAACCGTCTAACAGGAGAGACTTTTGTTAAGAAAAGCATATCTTTGACTTACGACATTGATATTCCTATAAACTACGACTAAAAAATAATCTAAGGTGCAACTGTATGTAGCTTTGCGTTAGAATTTTTTCATTTAGATAAAAAAAATAACAGAAGAGGATTTTTATTTGGAAAATGTGATTGTGCATAAGTGCGTAAATGTTAATAAAATGAAAAGTGGGAAAATTATCAACAGATTTATAATAAACACTCGATTGTTCCATTTGTACACTATTTTAAATCTCCAATTTTTAAATATCGGCATATGAAAAATGTTCAGATTCTAACGATTTCATATATGCTATAATTATACTAAGTAGAAATATGAAAAAAATTTTTGGTGCTATATAAATTACAGTATTGTATAATGTTTTAATATTATTTTAAGTGCTATTAGATGTACGATAGACGTGTTATTACTGTTGGTCAAAAGCGCATAATAAAGTTTTATTCATGTAATGTACTTTCTTGAACTTCTTAAAATTATAAATACGTTCTCTTATTATGGGATATTAAGAAAGATTTGCATTAAGCTGCAATACTCATTGAAACGAGTAAAAAAATACTTCATCAATATAGAGCAAAAAATACGTCAGAGTTAATTACTTTTAGTAATATAAATGACTAGGTTGTTTTTCTAATTCGAAACGAGATCAATTTTTCGTTCTGTATTGATTAAGCATCTTTTATTCATTTTAATGAATATTACATGCTCTCCAAGTGTATCTTTTTCTTTAGCATCCTGCATGCAATTTATCTGCATTTTCTACATTTTGTTTTTTCTAATATGGATTATTTTATCTCTCTCTCTTTCACATTTTGAACATTAATATATCATCATAGAATGACATCATGTTTGAGATAAATACGGTAAGCAAAGTTTTTCATTTTTTACTGTAATTTGTGAGTATCGCATATATTTTATAAGTGTTTCAAATAGAGAACGCTCAAGCTCTTAAATGGCTTACTCGCTAGGCGAACTCGCATTGTTACAGTAAATAGTGATAAACTTTGCTGGAGCAAGTTTGCGATGATCAATCGTATATTTTATTTCAGCCTGTGCGGCAAACAATCTCTATGACACCGTCGACGGGTAAGCAGTATGATCCATTGGAAGAGTTGGATGCGCTTGAAACACCAAGATCGAACTCTAAAACTGGGGAAGCAAAGAAAACCGAGAAAACGACTGAAAAGAAACCTGCTAACAGTGGCGGCTCTTGGTTCGGTGGTTTGTTTAGTAAACTTGCGCCAAAGCCGAAAAATCAAATGATATTACCAGACGATAGCAACCCAACGGTAAGTATTTTGCACTGTATCTTTTTCTGACTTACTAGAAAGTTGCAATAGACGCTTTTATATGTTTTATGTCGTTAAGGGCTTGCACGGATACTTTTGGTAATATCACAAATAAAATGAGAAAAAAAGAAAAATTACAAGTGATAATGCTACTTACGGTTACCACAATAATTCTAAGACGGACAGTAAACAGGCCAGTATAAGACGGGATTTATTGATTATTAAAATCGTTAATAACGACTAACGAATCGCTACTAATATGTTTTGTTAACTAGATTTTTCTAACATATGAACACAAACATACACAGACATACATTACAGTTAACAAACCTTTGCATTTCTTCTTTTGCTTTTCCTCTTTTTTTCTCATTTTCATTTAATTTTAATTTATTTCTTAGATTGGATTGAAGCTTTGTATTATGCAGTAACAAACTTTCAAGTTTATAATACTTGTTTGATCAATAGTAGTTACACAAGAGCGTGTGCATTTCTTGAAAAAAGAAAAATATATAATAAATACTTGTATTAATTTTTTCATTATTTATTAAAATAAATAATGACTATGTTAATTGAATTAAATTGAGATATTGATTATATCTTTGTTTTATAATATTTATTTCTCAAACACATTTTATGTGAAATTTTAGTGTCTTAGTGTTGATTTTAATATTATAATAATAAAAGATAGATATTTTTTATACATACTAGAACCATTCTAGACCATTTCTTTCTTTGAAATATAAGATTTCAATGCATCGCAGTAAAGAAAATGTACATTCTAAAGTTTTAACCTATCAAATGTTATGATATAACGTTATAAGGCATTTTTCTTATATCTCATGATATAAGATTCCAAAGCATAAAAATGAATAAAATGTACATTTTAACATTTCTAGACTATTTCTTTGTTAAAAATATAAGATTTCTAATTAGCAGCACAATATAGAAATAGAATATTGTTGTGCTTGTATAGCATTACATCATTTGTGCTGTCTTGTATTGCAGATTGTTTGGGATCCTGTTGCCAAGAAGTGGATGAATAAGGATGAGGACGGCGATGGCGGTGCTGGCACATTGGCACCACCGCCAAAAACTACCGATATGAATTTTCGGGCGCCGGCGATAGAACGCGTTTCACAACCGGCACCACCGGTCAGCACACACAGTGAAGACGCACCGACGATGGATACCTCGAAATTGCTTACTGGTAGCAACATGTTCAAACTGCCAAAGGGTAGAAATATGCGTGCCAATTACGTAGATGTAATGAATCCTGGCGGATCCAAAAGTAACACGGCATCGTCCAACATGCTTACTCCCATGACATCACCGCTTGTACCTATGGCTACTTCGTCCCCGCAGTTATTCGTCCCCGCGCCAAGTAAGTCACGCCACTTCAATTGTTCTCTTGTGTTAATTCCCTTTGACTTTATTCGCGCAAATTTATTTTTTAAATTCCCAACTTTATTTTTCTCGGTACATTTGCAAGTGTAATACTTAGAGCTAGCATTGCCTAAAGTATAGCTGAAGATTATAATATTGAAAATAGTTCACTAGAAAGTAATGAATTACTTTTATTATGGCAGTTACTGATCCAAATGCTCCCATGGATTTCCTGACATCGGCAGCAACACCATCATCTGGAAATGTCGCGGAGAATACACCACAAACAGTAAGTGCTTTATGATCCTGTTACATGATTTTTCAAAGAATCGTATAATTGTAAATTATATTTACAATTCTACACATTACTGCCACGTACATACATTAACAGTTTCATATAAATGTTCCCCTTTGTTGTTACCCTTGTGTTCTGGCTGCAGTTTGCTGGTATGCAGCTTAGATTTTCTGTCGGCGTGTTTCTGGAACTGTAATGTTAACAAAACTATATATTTCTCTATGCGTCCCCTTTTTCACAATCATTGTAATGAACAATTTGTACATTTTATATTCATTGTCTAATTTCACATCATCTAGTTTCTTCTACATATAATCTTTTCGAATCAATCATATTTACTTTCTTCTATAATTATTGCATATTTATAGGAGATCAATTTGCCTAGGTTTTTACAAGTTATTCCTCCAAGATGTTTAAATTAATGGATTAGATTGCTCCAGCACTGTGCAAATCCCTTCCTATTTAAAGAAACGAGATAATGGCAAAAATAATCATTGTTATTGATAGCATTATTGAACATACACCTCCATTGCTTTCTATATTATATTTTAATGACAGTGACATACCTTATTAGATTTCTACTTTGCTAAAAATGTTTTTTCCTCTATGTATCTGTGTTTAACCTTACCATTCTTTTTATGTTTCTTTATGCAAGCAGTCGGGGAAGCAGAATGATGTAGCCAAATAATAATTATTGCTGATAGTAAGGATTCATTTTATTAATTTTACATGTCATTATTTATTGGTGTTTTATACGCACGCTTTCTTACTCACCGCTTGCTAAAATGTATATATTTTTATATGTGAAGCTTTCTTGCACAAGAAAATAAACACTAATCATGTTATATTTCACAAGTGCTAGCAATTAACATTTGATAAATGGATAACGAACCTAATTTGCTCGCATGTTGGTTGCATATTTTGTTATTAATTTTATGAGCGTAATATGCAGAAAGAACTAATAACAGATATGAAGTAGGCTTTTTTGATTGTGACTGTGAATGATTTTGCATAATGCTACCATTGGAAAATGTTTCATTAACCATTTGTATACTTACATCATAATCAAAGTCTAAAAGACGTGTTTCTTTTAGTTTCTTAAAATGTAACGCTATAGTACACAGGAACACAAGTCGCATAATACCGATTTTCACATTGTGTATGCTTAGAAAGTGGCTTTTGTACTTTAAATAAGATCATTAAAAACTCTATGTTCTGAAAAGCGTGAAAATAATGCGATTATGTAAATCGGTATTATTCCTGAAAGTACACGATGAAACTAATTACAATGACTTGGCGAATATTTGTTAGTGAGACAACATTGTGTTGTATATGGCATATAGCTCTCTCGCTGGAGCTCGACCAGCTCGTTATCACGAGAGGTGCAGAGCTACACAATAAGGGATCCGCGGCTACTTCAACGGAACAAGGTAATCTAGAAGCAGTAACTTTCTCTTCATTTGCAAGATGACCACTTTTCCAAATTATTACTGCGAAATATGCGCTATGGTACACAGAAGATTGTGTCAGTATAATCTTTTTAAACTAATGAGTTTATATTTATATGCCAAGTAAAATTTTTCATCATAATTCGATGCTGCTTTTGTTACTAAAAACGGCTTATGCTTATCAATCACTGTCAATCATCTTCATGAGGTCATTAATCGTAATTCTAGAATCGTGGGAAAGCTTGGTGAAGGATATATATATTGGGTTCGGGCTCCGGTTCTCTCTCAGATTATATAAATAACAATAAGTTTAATCATCAATCAATTATTTGTATCTCTGTTATGTTATCCGTGAATTACATTAAATATAATTGTTTTAATATAGATTATATCTTCTAATGCTGTAAAGCGCAAATGCAAATTGCATATTTTTAATGAAAAATAATGAAAGGATTGAAAAATTGCATCCCCTTACTGCTTTCATACTATGTACACTAATATGAATTATTGATTCTAAAATAGGAATTTGAAAGCCCAAAGATTAGGAAACTTATCTTTATCTCTAGTATATTATTGCACAATATTATAAATTTTTTGTACACAGCACATACAAAATACTAACTGTATACTTCAGATTGAGAATAATTTTCAGGGACCAATGATGTTTAACCCGAGTGACATGAAGGATCGTTCGGTGAAGAACATACCATCCAGCAGATATCCTCCGCGATAATTCATGCGATTGTTTATGCAAATAATTTGTCATTCAAATTAGGAGATTTTCTGCAATCGTGTGCGTTTTGTTTCTGTATGAAACGTGACGGCAATTCCGTGATGACATATTGCTCACAGTCTTTTTGGAAAGATTGTGTATAGCCGAAGGATATAAAAAATTAATTTTGTTTGAGTTTGTTTCATAATTATATTTATAATATCTAATTAAGAACCGCATTGAAAACGAAAAAAAAAAATTTGGAATAATATTTCCGTACAATGGAAGGTAACAATGGCGGAATGGTGCTGCTAGTTAAATTCGAATATATAATCCTAATTTGTCAACCAAAAGCTTCCATTGCTCATTTTTTTGGTAAGAAAATGTGCTTTTGTTTAATGAATTTTTGCGGAATGTTTTATGCGCAGTGCAACGAATTTATTTGGAAGCTATACATTGATATCCATTTTTAGAAATGCATATTCCCATCGAATGGTTACCTGTGCATTTGCGTAATTGCGTAGATTGGGTTAATTGTCGCTAGGAAAAGTGCGCGAGTGCATTCCCTTTATTATATATTCGCTTAGCTTGTAAGTATTGTCATCGGTACCGGATTTGATATCGTGCGAAAATTCAAGTTCTGCGAACTGTTTGAATTATGCGAGTGAGATGTAAAGAAGTGTTTACTTGCAACTTACAGCCAGATCTATTTAAGTTACGATCAATCGTGGTCCTTCATTAAAAAGAGTGTCTTGTAGACGTACGATGATAGAGCGAGGATTGTAGCGCTAATTGTAGCTTAACTATCGCAGAATTTGTTACAACATCGGCCTCGGCATGTGCTGTAATTCTAAGTCTGATTTTATATGCCGGGAAAGAAGGAATATTGCAGCGCCGATAAAATCCGAAGTGTTAGGGATATGAAAATTTTATCGACGACGGGGAGAATCACGTTAACGAAAAGTGTATAATAGAAATATTGTTAGATGTCGGACTACTACGATATAACATTGATACATCAATAATAAGCAACTGCCATCAACGTGGATAGTGCGAAGAGTGATGAAGAGCGTTTGTATTGCGTTTTCACTGGTTCAATCGCGTTAGATGTAAGATTTGTCTGTCGGTGTCTATTTCCGCGAGGTATTTGATAGTTCTAGAAGGTTGTGAAAGCTGATAATATACGGATGCGTGAAGAGCATCCTGGCGAAGGATACACGAGTTGGTTGTAGTGCTTTTCCGTGTACGTCGAGATATTGTAAAAATTAAGTATCTATGAATACTTACACGTTTCAGTAAAGATATTTTAGCGCACACGCGAAAGCGCTAAAACTATTCTTTCTATTCTTAGCTAGAATGTTTTTACTTCAAAGATTGATACCGGTATAATTTTGCGGAGTTCACACTTGGATACAAAAACAAAAAAAAACGCAAATTTCTTTTTTAGAAATTGAACTCGTCGAGATTATACGGTTTCGATTCTTGCTTGGCTCAAGTTATCATCACTGTACGCTTCGTCCTATCATAATGGATACCATTAATCGTTTGCGGCGGATATGATTCTAGAAAGAAAAACATTACCTTTGGCTCATCTCGATTTTTCTCGCTAGTAAATTTCCCATAAATTTCTGAAATAAGAAACTCGAAATTTTCGACAAAATCTTTCGGAATGTAGCATATTTCTAGCAAGTGGTTATTCCATTGCCATTGACCACAACTAGAACAGGCTGGTTTATAGATATAGATTTTTGTAAATTATGACACTCGTAATACATTTTATATTTGTGACATACGAATTAAATGTGCCCTAGGTACATATGTTATATATGTGTGTGAATATACGTGAAAGATTTGTACATACTCTAAATGTAGTTTTCGTAAGCTTGTCCTATTGTCACATCGGAATTATTTATATTAAAATTTTCTTGTTTTTTTTTTTTTTAAATACAAGACAAAAACTCCATAAACACACTATGTTCTCGCAGAAAGCAACCAGAACTGCTCTATTTGTGATGAATGGCAGTTTATTATGATCAGTATTGTCATTAGTACGCAGTCGATCAATAATAAGCTCTTGTCGAAAACCTGCTGATAGTTGTTATAGAAAAATACGTCAACGTGTTACAATAGGCACGTCTTTGATTCTTGCACATATTTAATGTAATTGAGAATTCGGGTTGGAGTTATACATGCAATTTGTATAAATACGAGTATCACCGCTTTCGTTTCCTTATTATCATCTTATTTGTTCGTTGTTAAACGGTTTGTTTTGTAAGATTTTTTCACACGATATTATTGTAAAATGAATATAGGTCCGCCCGAGAATTCGAACAGTGATATATACATATATACGATGGAATATGGCAGGAAAGAGAATTTTAAGATTAGCGTTAAAGTTGAACAGAAGTATTAATCGAGCTGTAATGTATGTATAGACCGGTTTATAAACGACGCGATTCGTCTTTGATGTAACATATTATTATATACGTTTTACGCACTTTCCAATTCAGAGTTGATGTACGTTTATGGGAAATACGGATAATAATAATGATAATAATGATGTACACTGTAGATTATTAATATTACGATTATTATTATATTACTATTGATATTATAATAAAGAACAATTACAATACAATTTGGAGTTGTGATGACCAAACAAGATCCATCGGGATGCGAGTGGGAGATGAAAAGAATGAACAATACGTACATTATTTTCGATCCTTTTATTAAGTTTATTATAATGTTTCGAATCGATACAATGATTTCTGTGGTATAGTCGTCTTTCGGGCCACAACGTCGACGATCGTCTCCCGCACACACGGACGTTACACTCTGAGATCATCATGCGTGATACGAAATAGGCGATGAGACGTTGCGCGTCTCCGATGCAGGGGGAGAGGCGCGTGTGCGCTCGTTGAAACACGAAGAAATCAATCCAAAAATATCATCGTCTCTGTGGCGCACAATTTCATCGGGCAAATTGGTCGAGTCGGGCAGACAGGGGAGGGTTTTTTTTCTTTTTTTGTGTTTTTCTTTCTTTTAAAGCGCGACGACAGTTAACGTCGTGACACCGATGAGACTCCGAGAGGCGAAAGAACATAAATGCAGTATTTAACAATCAGCGTTTATTAGCGTGCACGTCGAACAAACGACTCAATCACCGGCGTTATTAGTTTTATATTTTGCCTTTTTTCTTTCCGTTATCGTGTAAACAGAAATCGGAAAGATCGGAGAGAAGGATGATGGATGATAAGAGGAAAGGTTGTGGAGAAACAGGAAACCGGGGCACGGGAGAGCGCGCGAAGGATATAAATATATAATAATTATCTTATATCGCGTATCCGTAAATACGTTAAACGTTATTTCTTTCTCATCACTCTCTCTCTCTC